TTCTGAACAATTTAGAATTATTTAAATAAAAATTTTATTTAGTTCATCAGAAATTTTAGAAATGCAGTAATACAAAATATATATAATATATACATAAATATATACAATTCTGTATTCATAACTCAAAAGCGTAATTGATGATTAAACAAGTAATTATAACTGAAATATAAAATTTTTTGCTTGCGCAACTGAAACTCGTGTGAAATAGAATTTAATCAAGGCAGAATTATTTGACACTAGACTGAGAAAAATAATTACTTAGCCAAGTAAATTTACTGACAACTAGAAAATCTGCATATTCCATGTAAATTTTCCCACGGATTGACTTGGCAGAAGTAAATTCATTTGCTTGAACCATTTTTTTAGCGTAAATCGAAGCTTAAAAGATCCTGAAGTTGTTTCTCATTGATGCCGTAAATATTCCACTGGCCAAAATAAGTGCAAAGTGATAGCACAAGGTAATAAAACGCTCTAGGTCATTTTGAAAGTCTCTATCATCACACACTTCACTCTCACGTATTTGCATTTAATTAGACTGTGCCCGAACCACAACCGATAATCATCATTCCGAATAAACAATCATGAGTACACAGATTCATCTGTCTTCTGTTTATTTTTTATGCATATAATGTCTGGTTAAATACACTCGGTAATTTTTCCTCGCCAATTCATCATTTTATTTAACACTCGCGGATAGCCGAAAAAAATGTTCTGATGACTAACATCGACGGATTTCAGGTTTTATTCAGTCTTTGCTTCCGAGTTGAGGCATTCTAATCCTTCAAATTTAAGTTTTATATTTTTTCTCTTCCATCACCCCATCGTGACCCAAAAAACTCGAAAACGTAATATTCTCAAACTTCATTATTTATTGAGCGCTAATAAATTTTTTCTACTTATCGACATTAATTAAAATTCTATTCCTTCATTAATTTTTTCATTTCTGACTTTTTTTTAAATCAGTTTCTCTCACCATCTAACTGTATAAAAAACGTTAGGAAATATAGGAAATAAATGGCTTAACAAATTTATGAAAAAAAGGAAAATAAATTAGTTTAAGGATGAAATTAACAGCAACAATAACAATAATAATAATCCATAGATACGAAAGAGGTCCCGAAATTGGTACTTTAGAAATATTTGAATTCTTGGGACTATCGCAGAATATTCTACTTGAATTTACTTCATCAAAACTTGGAATTACTATAATTTGGATAATTACTATAGCTTTAAACTCAACTTTTTTCTTATACTCCGGCCCGTTCTGCCCCTCTTGTTCGGTAATTGGTCGACTATAAATTCTGATATAATTTTTTAATGGCCGTTCGAATTTAATTGCTAATTTATTAGCAAAAAAAATATAATACATCCAAAAAAAGATTCCCAAATCATTTTTTCTCTATTTGGACAACTACTTCCCAGTCATAATCGCAAAATAATTTGTCTTTCCGCGTGTTCCGGAATTTTCTCAATTTATTACACTAGAATTACTTCCAGTGTCATTCAATAAAATGTGAATTTTAACAATCATAAAAATAGAGGAGAAATAATCCTCCAACTACCCCTCCAGCTATAGAATCCATCCGCCATTTTCCTTGATCTTCCCTGGGAATAAACGATAGAATGAAATTTTCCAAGAAAATCCTTTTTAAACCTGAAAAATTTATTTGTTTTATTTTTTATATTTTCTATTATTTGTTTTACAACGAAGCTACCGGAAAAGAGTCAATCATTTTGTAGCCTTTGGGGTTTTATACTGAATATTCCTCTTCCTGTGCAACCACTTCATTATCGCAAACTCTCTTCACTCTATTCGATCAACTGCAGCTTATTCATAACTTTTAACAATTGCGGAAAACTGCAAAGTTTTTGATTTTGTGCGCCTGGTATGAAGTGGTGAAGCGAATTGCGGTGAATTGTTGTCGGCATGTTTCCAAAATATCTGCGAAACTGACGGCGATAGCGGATTTTTTGTAATAACCTTTTCCATAGATCTCCATTATCACCACAAAAAAGGTTTTAACACGTATTTCGCTGTCTCCTTTAATTTCGGAGATATTTCGGAAAAACGCACTGGAGAGGAGAGTGAATTTGTCGTTTGAGGATTTTAAGGATTACAGAAAAATAATTATATTAATGTTAATTAATTGTATACATCTGTCACGATATGAAGCCGAAGAAGGGCAATACCAGATAAAACAATAGAATAATAGAATTTATGGAATTTATTTATTTATTTATTTATATTAATTTATTTTTCATCTCAAATCAATAGTTTCCGAGATAAATCGATAATTATTAAAAATTTGAATTGCGATTGTTTTCATTTTGTAAATTAGCCATTTATTTGTAAATTAAAGCGATTGTGAATGCCAGGACAAGGATCAAAAAGATAAAATCGGTAAGGGTCATTATGTGTAAAAATTACTCAAATACCTTGGAAATTTTTCCTTTCATCAGAAATTGTGAAAAGTGGAATAAATATGAAGTATTCAGCGAATTGTGGTAGGAAGGATTTCCAGTAAATTAAACTTTCATCAAGTCATACCTTGAAGAGTTTAATTTGAAATCACAATTTGCAGTTGCGAATGCAATAAAATTTTTTATTCTAATCGAATTCCTCCCGGGAAGAAGAATAAATGAATGACAAAATGGGTAAAGGGTGATTTATCATTCCCATTAATCTCGATCAAACAAAACCAAATGTGACCTGTTGCCATAAATATTCCTGAAGAATTCTCTATTGTCCAATGAATCAGAATCCCTCAATCATTCAATTATGATGCCTCCATCGACACAGGAATTCCGGATTGAATAAAGCTGGTGAAAAAGTTCCAGAGTTTGTCGATTGATTGCCAGGCGAGATTGGATCGTGAAGAAGAAGCGAAAAGCCTTGGCATTACCAGATGTCTTGGTTGACGTATTTTTACTCTGCACCTGAGTACATCTGTACCATGTTTACGGATTTATCTTAGCCGGGTGTAACATACGATAAGACTATCTGCCTCTGTTGACTGAACGTTTTATCCTGTAAACTCAAATGAATAACTAACTTGGTGGGAAATCATTGTTTTTTTAACAGAAGAGATAACACAGTCTCTGGGAAATTCTAAAACATTGAGCAGGAGATCGATGACTGAAAACTCAGTGATAAAAATAAATTTCACTATCCAAATTGAGAGTCAGATAGAGTTTAATTGGAGTTGGGTGGAAAAATTCATTTCACGATTGAAAGACTGAATTCTAGTCTTTCGGTTCGATCAATTTCATCTATTCGAAGATCTTTAAGGTGGTTGTCGCGCGACAGTCTCTGTAAAAAGTTTATCCGCTGTGAAACGGGCCAGTTTAGAACACAATCTTTTAGCAGTATATAGTCTCACTTGATTGATTGCATTGTGCATGGATAGCTAAAGCATAACTATATATTTTCCATATTAACTATTTTCAATTACATAAATTTATGAATTTCCGATAATTATATTCCGTAAACCAAACGGTCAATCGATTTGATTTTTTTTTCTGTATTTCCTCCCACGATGTATATTCCACGTTTTTTTTTATTTCTGAAACTGTCGAGCCGTTGATTTTTAAAAAATTCTAATCGGCAAAACTCCATTTTAACACGTGTTAAATCACTCGAATTTCAAAAATTTATATCTCAAGTTCAAAACGGTCAATTGCAAACGGAAAAGGCTCATTTTGTTGCTAATTTTTCAAACTATTCACCATAAAATTGTTAACGAAAACTCGAAAAAAAATTCTACGCGACAACAACCTTAATTCAATCAGTAATGACTACATTTGGCGGTCCGAACGATTAATTTCAGACGCTCAGACGTCTCCATTTTAGATGATAAAATTGAAAATTCAGATTTTGGCATTTAGTAACTTTTTAAAGATTAACATTGAGATTGTCAAATTATTTTTATGAAAAAAAAACTTTTATGAATATACAAATTAAGATATCTGGCGTCCCTAAACAAGATTTTTTAAATTGTTAATTAAATTTTTGGAAATGATAGAACAAGATTTCAGGATTTTTTTCTTTTGGATGTACATTACTTGCGATTGTATAAAATATAGTTTAACATTTTCAGAGTGTCACTGTTAAGAAAATGTTGTAAATTTATTTCTTTTATTAATATTGTTAATATTTATGAGATTCTCATCGAATGGCCAGTGATTCTCAATATAGTACAAGGAAATCAAACGCTAATGATTTATAATTTGTGGAAAAGTCTAAGACTTTTTCCATATTCTATTTATACCAAAAACAGTAATGACGTTGTAATTATGGGATTACTTACCTAGATCACAAATCGATCAGCAGTAAACGTGAGACTCAATATCGGAGAGAAAAATATTCTTTGTAAATGTTATTTCAATCATTATTACCACTCACAATATCGAAATTGTACTGGCGGTAAACTGGTTTTCGGTTTAAATGAATGTAAAGTGAAACTTAAACTCCACCTGCGGTTTTTTTAAATGAAATACTCAATGCGCTTAGTACTGAGTAATAATAATGACTCCTTTTTTCTCTATAGATTCGAAAATCATATGAAATAAAAAGCTAAGGATAAACCGACGCTCAAATCAGACGGACAAGTGAAGAATAAAAAATAAAGATGAAATAATGTAACATCAAAATCAAAATGAGTTTAAGTTTTTTTTAAATATATCGGTATTCAATGGAGATGGCGAAATTTTCATAATAACCTTTTACATAGGTATTTTCAAGGGCTACAGAAAAGGTTCTCATGAAAAATTATCCTAGATCTGTAGATTATGAGCTACCGTTCAAAAACTGGTGAAGAAACTGAGTGACAGATTAATTTCAGATGATCTTTTTTATCCCGCTCTCTCCTAGTCTCTCAGGTGATGGGACGATCTTCTATTTTTGGAATTGGCAAGACAACAATGAATTTTCAATAATTCGCATGTGAATGTCATACGGAGGACAAGATAAATGAGTACAAATCCAGTATTTAATTGTTAGGAATCACTTTGTTTTATTGAATTTCAAATATTAAAATTCAAGAGAAAAAAAAAACACCACTTGGCAATAAATCTACAATCTGTAGAAAGGTACATACAGGACATGAGCGCCATTCAAGCGCACGCACTTTAATTTATATGATCATATAATCTATTGCTCAATATAATATATCCATATAATTTCTTGTCAATAAGATCGTAAGAATGTTAGATCTCGTTGGGATTAAAACTAATATCTTATGCGGAAAATCCTTCTTAAAAATAACAAAAACCGTCACCGACGGTTTTCACTGACTTAACATCATCCAACTATATACAATGGAGCTTTGACAATTACCCTAAATGTATCCTATACTTTTCCCTCGAGAAAATAAAAAAGCAGTTGAAGTTTTTGTACTTGGCGTCAGTCAACGAATAACTGGAAGCATGATTTCATCCCAAATTTGGCTGTTTCCACAAGAATAAGTAAGCCTATCCATCTAAACCGTAAATTCTAAAAAGCTCATAAAACATATTCCAAAGTTTGAGTTATCAATAAACTTTAACATTAAATCACAAATTTCCTCCAATTTTATCAGATCCTTTGGAAACAGATGATCCCAACTCCGAAATATTGAAAAACAAAAACAAACAATTATTGTCTTCAGATTCTCTCACCCTACCCTAAAAGTATTGTCAAACCTCTTAACAAAATTCGCGAAAAAAAATCTTAACCCTAACAGCAAGATTGGGCGAAGTCATTGAGCATTGAGTGATCTTGCATTGGTCTAGGACACCAGTTCCCCCGACCTTGAAAACCAAAAGTCTTTAACCCCTATTCGTCTTTCTTCTTTCTCAATTTTCCCTCCGTTTGGATTGTCCTGGAAACCATGTCAACACAGGTACCGAGAGCTGAACTAGTCGTTTCCTCGCCCTCCGGAGTATTGGCTATTTTGCTGAGGGTCATGATGTAGCTGCAGGCAATCCTCAGAACAGACAGTTTCGACAGTTTCTGATTATGAGAGTAAGCTGGGATAGACTTTCTCAAAGTATCAAAAGCAGCTGAGATGGTGTGAACTCTTGTTCTCTCCCTGGCGTTCGCCTCTATCCTCCTCTCTCTCGTCATGTTCTTGTAATTTCTTTGCTGGCCACTCTGATGATTCCTTTGATCGCTCTCCCTCTGACTGCCATCCCTCGAGCTATCGGAAAACGTTGGCTCAGCTATGCACACAGGGAACGTTGAACTGCGTTCGAAGCTACCATTGACAGCTGGATGCGCTGGTACTCTTGGTGGCTCTCCTCTCAAAACCAATGCCAGAGGTTCTTCCTGCAATCTGAGTGGTGCTGGTGGTGGTGGAGGTGGTGGTGGTGGTTGGAACCTCTGTCTCTCTCGACTTTGTGAAGATGTGACAGAAGAACTCGACGTTTGGGACGAAACTGGTGATGTTGTTCTTCTCGCTTCGGACTCCTGGAGCCTAGCAAGAACTTCCTCTTGGATTCTCGCCTCATGCTGCCTCTGGGCCTCTTCTTCGCGTCTCCTCGCCTCCTCCTGTCGCCATCTCTCCTCTTGAATCCTGAGGTCAGTCGTCAGGTAGTTCTCGGACGTTTTACGAGAGAACTCGGATGGCTTCAGGGCAGTCTGAGTTTTGGATTCTGTCGGCTTGGCCGGACTGCTCCAAGGACGAAATGGCGAAGGCGATGGTGTATTTGGTGGTCTCGACTCTTCGTCGACGACTGTCGATGATTCCTGGATGAGATCGAATCGACGCTTCTTCAGGGGGGCTGTCGATTGCTCCTGAAGCTTTCGTGGTTCCGCTAACTTTCGCTTGTTCCTCAGGGAAATTGGGGATATCTGGACTTCGACACTGTCTTCAGAGGCACTTGGAGAGTGGAGACCTGACATGTCGTCCTCGTCACCACCGCTGCAGAAACCAGCGTCCCTCTCTGTACCTGCCATTACACCTGCTGTAATCAGAAAAGAAGAACGGGGCGATTAGTTATCATCTCTTGTACATGTCTTGTGTTAAAGTTATTTAAAGTAAAGTAAAGAGATAAAAATCTAAAAATCTAAAAATCTGAACAATAAAATCAATATTCAGAGAATGTAGAGATGCACAGGTAATCAGTCGCGTAAAAATGAAAAAATGTTTTTGCTCAGAGATTGATTTAGGGCTGAAACAATGACGGAATAACTGGTGGAACACCTTAAGTCGGCTAGTTCGTTCATCAACTGATAAGTTGATGAAGGGTGGATGAAGCCTTGAGTAGTTAATTAAGTAAAGGCATTTATCACTGGTTAATTAACAACTGGAATTAATGGTCTCGATGCTGTGGAGAGTGATTTGCGATGTTTTCGTGATTTTAATGATCTTTTTTATACTTGGGTGGGTTTTATTGTTCAAACCGCATGAGTCTACTTTTAATACTTGTTTCAACATTATTCGCCAGTGACTCAAGTGACGCGTCTCTAAAGCCCCGTCATCCAGCTGCCACCATCTGGCGTTTGCCCAGGTTGGGGCGTGATTTATTATTCAACAACAAGACTCAACCACTATTCAATTGGAAATTATTCTCTCGATAAAAACAACGCCACAGCCACATTTTTTTAATCATTCGACTGCAAAATCTATCTCTCTTTCGATTAATTGACATGAGTCGTTTTGTTTCCGAGTGGAAGCTTTGCATTCGTCAAATGCGATGCTTCCGATTTTTTACGTCAGGATGATTAATTCCGGCTTTAGGAATTCAAATGTATGGGCAATTGCGTATGCATGTGGTCTAGTGTTTTTCAACGATAACTGAACAAATTATTATTCAAATTGGAGAAATTGCGATTCAAATGCGATTGAGTTCGAATTTGAAGATAATTGGAGTTTAGTTGGACTTTAGTTGGAGTTTAGTCGGAATTTACTCGGAGCCTAGTTACAGATTAGTCACGATTTAGTCGGAGTTTAGATACAGTTCAATTAAGGTTTAACCGGAATCGGAATTTATCTGAGGTTTAGTGAGGAGTTTAGCCCGGATTTAGTCAGGATTTAGTTGGGGCTTGATGAGCCAATGCTACTCTAGACGTCGCCATAATTTAGTCAACCTTGTGCCGAATTGGACCGATATTAAATCAAGGTTAAGCGAGGATCAACTAAAGGTTAACTAGTCAACCTACAGTCCAAAACCGATGGTCACCTCGACATCGATCCTTCAAAAAACAAACAATACGTTCCGTTCCCTTAATTTGAAACATGCGATCATATGATTGACTATTGAGCGCACTTGGTATGGGTGCACAAAAATTAATAGTTATCCCATAGATCTTTTGGCTCATATTATTATTTTATAATTTTTCTTAGAACAGCATCAGGATAAGGAGAACAGTTTATAAAAACAGAAATAGAAAGAGATGAATGAACAAGGGCCTTTTGTAAAATGGGTCCAGAGCGTGAAAACTTTGGTTGCCATGATTCAGTCGAGATGCAGAGGTCATAGGAGAAAGATATACCTTCTGAGTGCATTTAATAAAAGTTAACCTCTAACTCTAATTATTTTAATTATTTACTAATTCCTCTCCATAATCCAATATTGACAATAATAATATCGACTCTATGGATAATTCATCAGGGGAAAATTTCTAGATGTTAAACAAAAAGGAAAAGCCATATTCGACTGGTTTTATTTACAATGACTGATTTCGGTTGGCGGGAGATATTTATTGATTTTCCAATTATCGACTCCTGAACGTGGCTTTTTTTACAATTCATTTGATTTTATAGAAAATTTTAAGTTCAACCCGACATTTTAGCGATAAATAATTGGCTCTCGGAAGGGTAACCAGTAACGTAACGTCTGATCGATAGTCGCAACAATAATTTATCGCTCCGATCCACCGACGGTAGCGTACGTATATGGCGTTGTCGCAGCCGTTTCAGGTTTCTCGATTACAGATTGCCCTCTTTTCCCCTCTCACTCGTATCGTTTATTTTCCCCACTCTGAATACTCATTCCTTATTCCTCTTTCGCCTGTCTCATTCGTACATTTTTCTCATCCCCCTTCGCGGCTACTGCAGTTAACAACTGAGACGAGCCACATGGCGCTGGCGCCGCTTGCTAATCCGAGACTTCAAGTCTCTTTTTTTTTTTTTTTCTATTTTTATTGTTTATACTCGGGTTAAGGAGGGAGCTTTTCTGGGTGATATCGGAGTTTTCCGCACTGTGAACCTTCTCGTCTTATCAACGACAGACCGATAAAATTATTGAGAGTTGTAAATTCGATCGCGACGCGAGCATTTTATTTGAGCCCCAGGGAGAGGATTTTTATTGGAGGAGAATGTCGTTGGAGAAAGGAGCAATATTTTTTGAATATTTTACCGGAAAAATGGATTTATGGAGATTGTTAAAAATTAATGGGTTTTTTGGAATTGCTCTCACATTCAACTCGAGGCTAAGTGTCCAGTTTCGTTAAATCGTAAACGCCATGCTGAAGGTAACATCATGAGGAAAATATATTTTCCAACACTAGTATGACGGAATATTTTTACTTATCCGAATTAATCATTCGTCCAGATAATCCTTACTAGATTAGAAGAAAACGTTTTCTTATATTAGAAATAAGTTGTTTTGTTAATCATTATAATTTTTAATATGATGTATACCCCAAATTCTTTTTCATTGTTATAAATAATTGACATTTCGCATTGACACACACGTTGACAGAATTTTGGTAATAGCTGAGACGTAAATTGTACTCCAAGAGATTTTAAATAATAATCGCAATAGTAACAAACCCATTTTTAATAAAAACTAAAAAAAATTAAAAAAAGGAAATTTAGTGAGGAACCTATTCTTTTCTATTATTGGAATTTTAGATGAGTGTTGGCAGAAAAGCGATACAAACGAGGAACAAAGAATTTTCGATTATGTATCGATTGAAAATCCCACGGTAACTAATCTCGATTGCATTTCTCACATTAATTATGCGTCGTATGTACATTACAGATAACACTCGTGCGAATAAAATACTTGATATTGCCGGAGTCGTAGATCGGAGGAAAACTGGTCTGGTTATATTTTGTTGGTGCAACTTTTTCCTTATCACGCGGTAAATATAACTTGAGTGAGCGTGAGACCGCGGACTCTGGCGCGATGATTTTGGTCACGCAAACTAATTAATTAGCCTCGAAAAACTTTCCAAACGAAATAAAAATAAAAACAATTCACTCGCTTGTATATATTTTTTTCTGTACGACAGGGTGAGAGGGGAAATGGCATTGAGAAGAATAAGAATAAACGGATTTTGTGTATAATGAAATCCGAGATAAGGGCGGACTCGAGATATTCGCACCTGGTACCCATTTGGAACTGTTGGAGATGTTGGGGAGTGGCGAAAAACTCGAGCTAATAATAAGAAAAATGATAACACGAACGAAACACCTGGCACCGAAGCTTTATCGCGCCATGTGTGGGAAGATAACTAGTGCGGATGTGTAAGCTTATATATTGCACATCTGCTTCACTACATGATTCTATTTCAACAAAAGATGCGAAAAATCGGGTAGTGATTTATAAAAACCGAAAAAAGTACAAAAAGCACAAAATATTCCTTTGCAATCGTACATTATTAAATAATTACACTTTTTTTACTTTTAACAACGACAAGCGGTCGTGAAATTTCTGCAAAATTTTCGCCTGATGAATCAATTAATTTGTTTAATATTCCAATAATTTTCAATTGTCAGGTTCATATAACGTTGAAAACCGTGCGTTGGGAATATTTTTAAGTGAATCATAGACAAGCGACTCTGTCACAGGCCACAGGAAATATCGAGTGACTTAAGTTGTTTATGACCTAAACAACTCAACACGTGAATCTACTCAAGGACAAAGGATCTTGTCTTCGACCAGACCTCATACCCTGGACGAAATGTTTTTTTTTTACACGTGTTGACAATAATGTTAGGAAAAGACCAATGGAATAATAATGTATATGTGGTGTGGTAATAGTACATTTCGTAACAAGTGCGGAAAAGTAATTTTTAGGTACGTCGTGATGAAAAGTCACTTTTCCACACGTCGTGATGAAAAGTCACTTTTCCACACGTCGTGATGAAAAGTCACTTTTCCACACGTCGTAATGAAAAGTCAATTTTCCGCACATAATAGAGAATAAAAAAAAGAAAGCACTATAATTAATTTATTTTATCAATATTTTCCAGATATCACAACTAAATCCAATCTGTAAATTTCCCTTAATCGTGAATCCGATTCAGCAATTTTTATCAATTAATCAATTAATCGGAAATAGAACCCTCTAATTAAAAATTCATAACTGACTGGTGATTTAGTGACTGAAATTCCAAGAAATTTCTGTGAGTATTTTGACGAATATTTTTTTTTCGGAATAGATTGAACCGAGCGATATGTAAAGGGCAATTTCCCGCTGATGCTCAACATCCGACATGTCGATTCCACAGGAACGTGATCGTATTGAGGTCTAGGAGGTCACCGACAGGCGCCACCAAGACACATCTTCAACATTCGCAAACATCATCGAGTTCCTCAGTTGCGCATCAACACGACTTCACTCGAGGCCACACTCTTACAAGCCATAATAAAAAAAAACAAACTAACACAAGACACATATGGAGGCGTTTTATCTTTCATTCAGAAGATGCAGTCGATCGGTGAAAGATCAAACTCGTGGCTCGTGTTATTGACATGCGCTATCAATCTCTGAGTTTATTGCAGTGAAATCTCGTCACCCAGGTCAAGTATCTTATCGTTTACCACGAACAAAAAATGGATTTCACAATGTGACGAGTTAATCCGATCTATTGTCTCTAAAAATACGAAGAATGTGGTCATTTTTATGAGTAATAGACAATAGTAATAATATAAAATAATAGAAAACCGTGATTGATTCTGTGGAAAAACTTCTGCGCGGAAATTTATGTCTGGAAGTACTAATTGAAAAA